GAGAGATCAATACTGCAAGAGCAATACCGCATATTATATTATATTATATTAGTACCATTAATTATTTTTTTTCCATTTGTGCAACTACTGCAGCAAGAAAATTATTAAAAAAGTAGATCAGTTGTTGGAAAGCGCAGTTGAATACTAGTAATAGTAATAATAATAACAAATTTTATTGCATCCTTGAAATAAATTGTTCATCAGTTAAAAGCAATAACAATGGAATACATAAACAAAAAGAAAACAAAAAAAATGTAAAATGCTCAAAAGAAAAGAAAAAAAGTAAGAATTATCTTTTAATTGGATGTTCTGTTCTAATGTCAAATATGGCATATACATATTCACTCACTTGTCTTATAATTTCAACATCATTGCAACTCATCAGGTATATAAATTTCTGATTAATGTTGTAGGCTGTGTTTGGAATTATTATAGTATGCAAATTTTAGTGATTACTATCTTAAAGAACTCAAACTAGCCAGTGTTAAATATTCTTAGATTTCCAGCAAAATACTGAGTAAATTTGAATCTTTAATGTTAAATTTGTGAGCGATTTTGTAAGTGCACATAAAATATCCAAATTAAAAATCACCAGCAACTGTTGCCGTAGACAACCAGCCTGTTATCTCGTTGGCTCTACTTTTAGTATTGGTTGTTTGCCGAATACAAGTACAATCAGGCATATTACTTCTGTTGTCATGCAATATTGAAAATAATCATGTCTTAATTGATGGTGATAAACTCTGGCAAGGTTGCAAAGAAATTATACTATCTGTGGATTAAGAATTGTGCTATGTGTGCAAAAAACTCACATGATGTGGATGAAATACCACAAAACAATAGAAATACGATAATATTTGTTATTACTACTGAAATCATTTCAGCTGGACTGCATATCATTTTCATAAATTCTTTAACTATTAAATAATTGAAATATCAAAAGTTTTTCTGCAAATATTGGTGCATATGAATCTATGTTTGATTATTGCTTAAAGTAATAGTTACAAAATTACTGTAACAACTCTTCTGTGTATTACATACTAGTACTGTTCTGTAAAACAAACAAAAAACAAAGGCATTGACTAAATAATGCAAGTTCCCATTTCCAACTGTGATCCTTTCAAACTCAACGATAGTTGCATTATAAAAGTGATTGTTCGTGAAATCTAGCAAAAAAAAAAAAGAATCGACTGGATAATTGAGATATCGTCGCGAGTGAGTTACAGTTATGTAAATCACTTCATTTTGTGAGAAAATGGATGATGTTTTGTGATTGGTTGAATGTGCTGAAGCTTTCACAGCTAAACTCTTGAGGGCGCTCTGTTGAACTAGGCGTTTCATGCGCTCGTACATATCAAATGTATGCTTATGTGTATGATGCACAATTTGTTCTTTTCTCTTAAAAACTGAGCATAGGATCGAATCACCAATCTGTCGTCATGATACAATCACTTAGCTATATTCGCTTCTATGGAGACAGTGATGATTACCGAATTCGTTTTTAAATTCACTTTGCAAATTTCCGGAATGCCTATGTCTACTGCGTATTCATTTCCATGGCCCTATAGCTGAAAACGTTCCGACTGTGAGACAGGGCATAGCAGTGCCGGGTTGCTACTTTCATGACGTGTTTTACACGGAGTCACTATGACCAGAACAGTCTCTAAAGTTAAACAATTTTAAAATAGTTATTGTTCTCATTTTAATGATTGGAATTTATACATTTATCTATAAGTTACGACGAAATGTGATGCTGAAAATTGCGTCCTCTTTCAGTGACGAGGTTATATTCGGCATCAGCTAGATGTGTTCTATTTATAGAGCAGCGGCTCACTGGTAGTGGTTGATACGAACCTGTCTATTTACTCGCACGACTCACAGTCCCAATCCACGTGACAGGTTAATCACTCACAGACGCGATTCATACTTCATTACATCGGAGCTTGAATATTAGTTTCGTGATTCCAAAAGAAAGTTTGATTCCTAAATGTGTATTTTAGCCAAAATAGTTCAATGTCACTTCACAATCGTTTTGGTTTGTGGATAAATAATCTCATTACATAATGTTTTTTGACGTCACACGAAACGTCTACAGTGCTTGCTGCTTTTTTGTGTCTCAGTTCACATATAAAGCTGGGGGTTCCTGTCAAATAAATTAATATTGATTATTGTATATTCGTTACCATGGCAACGAAACCAATGTAATCTTCGTTGAAGATATATTTAATAATAAAAGCCCTGTATTACTTCACACAAATCTATTGCAGTTGACAGTAATTAGAGGGATTGATATATTCCGTTTTCGGCGTAGTGATATCATCTTTTATCGCAATATTCTCCCCTAAACTATGGGTAATTATGAACACGTGTTGCACTAAGTACTTTGTAGAATATCTGTATAGTCATGATTGGTGACATACAAGCCGTCATATTTATATCGCCACTCTAAAACACTTAATTCAAAACATCTCAGTTGTGGGTCGAAATAAACCATTGTACGTGGTAACACGTGGGTTTGATTCGATCGTGTAGACT